TATATATCATAATATATATGAAAGTTTATATCATAATTTATATCAAACATGACTTCTAGTTTGACAATGAATTAACATTTACTGCTAAAGAGAAAAGTTTGAGCCATTTTTGAGGATCACTTTGGGCTATGAGTGCATAAAAACACTAACAAAATATATAATTCAATGACATATTTCGCAAAAATGCATTAATATTGAGAAATATTGTGAAATAACTTTTTTGAAGTTACAATTTTTTTTAAACGTAAACATGAGAGACAAAAGACCAAATGAATGCTTTTCTTATTGATTATTTTGTTATTGTGTACTCAAAAGGCATTTTCATATTTTCAAAATGCACTCAAATTTAAATAATTGATAATAAATATGCAAATAAATCACAATATATGATATGTGCATACATATAGTTTTTAATATTTAATTACATGTAAAATTCCTTTATATATTGTCCGCATTTTTAGACTCTTTTTGGTGCGATTACGTGAACGACTGTCCGGACGGGTCGGACGAGAATGACTGCCAAAGCCATCGCCGAAAGTGCCGCTCCGATGAGTACGAGTGCGATAACGGCCAGTGTATTGGCCGCCGGTATCAGTGCTTTTTGGCGGCCGACCAGCGGAACGGTTGCGCCGACGGATCCAATCTGAAGAACTGTTCCCAATGGCAGTGCTCTGAGGATCAGATCAAATGCGCCGATAGTTACTGCGTTGACGGACAGCTCAAATGCAACGGAAAGATTGAGTGCCCAATGCTTTCCGATTGGGCCGACGAAGACAATTGCCGTACGTTTTATTGCACATTACTATACAATACAGAGAATATTGTTTTGTAGTTTTGTTGTTATTTTTTGTCAAATAGTCGACTAATGTCTGTTCATATCCTAAGATTTTTTTTTGCATTTTCATTGAGCAAAACGACAGAATAATAGAATCGTCTCTTTGTTTTTTGCTCAAAGTTTTTTGTTGTCTTTTTGTTTTCTTCCGTCAAAACTGAGGCAAACGACGTTTGGCTGCGATTGGAGTGAAAGCTATTTGAGATCGATTTCAGTTTTTTATACACATTTTTGTCACATTTTTTATATTCTTTGAGCTGAAAAGCAATTTGTAAAATGTTTTAGATATAGACTATTCGTTAAATGCCTTTCACTTTCTATGAGCTTTAGTTTTGTTATTGTTTTTGATTTTAAAGTTTTAATGTCATTGTTTTAGCACAGATTTATGTTTAGCATTACATCAACTCTACAGTAATTTCTAGTGTGCTTTCGACTCGTTTTATATTATAATTTGCTTTCGTTTACGCCTTTTGTTATGAAGCAATTAATATTTATATTTAAATAATTATCCTCTATTTATAATACATCCAAAACTCATTAAGATATCATTTATTATAATTATAATGGCCTTTAATTACTGTTTAATATTTCTCAACGTATTGTACGTTAACTTATAAAATCTGTCACTTAATTAATCGATAACAGAAATGTGACAACAGTTTCAATACATACTTATAACATGTCTTTCCGTAATATATACAGCATTTTCGTGTTCATCAGACAATCGGTGTCCGTGTATTGACACCACTATTGACTGCACAGATGTTGGTCTCGAAGAGATTCCCAATAATATTGAATTAGAGATATTGCGGATGTAAGTTAACTCATATTTTATCATTTTATTATGTTTTAATTCGTATATCTGTTATATATTTTGTTTTTGGAAAACAATTAAATATTGAAGTTTTAAACAAAAGTTTTAATGTTTGCTTTAAATAATGTCTTTAAGACTTATTAATAGAAAATAAGTCATTTTCATTACCGAAATGATTAATTAAGACAATGCTAAGCATACATGTCTTTATTATGACATAAGCAGCAAATAATGAATTCATTTTAAAACATATTGAAATAGCAATGGATTTGCAATTAAATATTCAAAAATATTTGCATTAAAATTATTTATTTTTGCAGAAATTCTTAAGTGCTTAGAATTTGAAGTATTTGTTTGACTTCAATAAATGGTTATCAAAGTTATATTTTACATCTTAAGTTAACATCTTGATGTTCTCTCTCTCTCTCTCGTATAAAATAAGAAAATATATAACAATTGTTTGTTCCAAATTCATAATAATATTGTATAATAATAATATATATTGATAAAACTTTTTGTGAGTTTTTAGTAAATAAATTTTAAATTTCAAAAATATTTACCATTTTATGACATATTTTGAGCTCTTATTGCATATTTTCCAAAATGCATTTATATTAATAGTATTGTTTACAAGTTTAAAATACCATTGCATTGCTTTTCCTATATTTGTAGAATTTATTTCATTTTTAAAAATTTATAAACGATCTAGAAATATTATGCAAATTGTTATGAAATAAAGTAGTATTATTCATATTTACAACATTTAATAATAATAAAATGATTGAATGAAATGGATTATAATAAATATATGGCAGTATATTGTGTTACAGAGAATAGTAGAGTAAATGTTTACTTATATTGTTGGTGTAATTGATATAAAATCGATTCAATAAAATTTGAGATTTTTTGAGCTTTCCCTACAAAATATATTATATTTTTGCTTATTTTTAACTTCAATTTTACAACAATTATGTTTTTAAAAATTGACATTTCAAACACTTTTGAAATTGATTTTAATAAAATATTTCTAAAAAATACCAAACCTTTATATTTTTGTTAAATAGAGCACATGTTATGTCATTATAATAATAGAGCCGTTGAATAAAGAATATTTAAATTCATGTTTTGCAAAAATAAAATAATTACTTTTGGAAATTAAACTTCAATTTTGCATTCAATTCAATAGAAATGAAATATTAAAACATATCATTTTGTAAATCTTGTTTTTTCCCGACTATAGGATACTTAAAGGCAATCAATTGGGAAAGAATTTGAAACTGAAAATGTTTGTAGGCTTTGAGAGAATGCATACAATAGACTTGAGTGAGAATCAAATTACATATTTGCCTCCGGGTTTGTTCAAGAATCTGTGGAAACTCAGAATACTGTATGTATTTTTGCCTATTTATACCATTATAATTAAAATTGAATGTATTTACAAATGGGGGAAACGGAATATAAATAATTAAAATACTGGAAGGGATATATGGGATAAAACTAAATATTTAAATTAAATTTATTAATCCTTTTATACTTATATTCTGTGCATTAAAGGCATTTGAAAAACAATATGATCGAGAACTTGGATCCGCACACATTCGCTGGACTTCCAAACTTGGGAACAGTGTATGAATACTAATGATATTTCTTGTTTTTTTTGTTGTTATATTTCATGAAAAATTAAAATTAATGTTAACTGAATTGAATCGATATGAGAGAACATAAATCATTTGAAGTAAATTCTATATTCTTTCTCTTATTCTTTCTCTTTCTTTCTTTTGGAAACCGACAGAACATTAATCGGAAACAGAATCTCAACAATACATGAATACTCATTCAGTGGATTGACTTCTTTGAATGCATTGTAAGCATTGATTTTAACATTAGTTTTGTTCTTGTTTTCGCTCCCAAACACACAATTCATTTAAAATTTAGTTGAAAATAAATAATTAGTAAACTAATGGTTATGAAAGTTTTTGTATTTGTATATATATTTCTATATATACTGTACATGTACTTTATATAAATTTCGCAACACTTTATAAGTTAAATTTGTTTACCGTTGATATTATTTTGTAACAAAAGTGTCAAATAATTTATTTAAATTTTGTTATTTAAATTTTAATTAGATTGTTTTTAATCCATGACAGTATTTATAAATAGATTCAAATTAGATATTAATTATTAATATATTAAATCTTATGACAGAATCATTAAGTATTTTGTTTTTGTAACATAAGAAATCGCGTTAGAATTTAATCTAGAAATTATTAAAAGTTTTATCTCATTTAAATATCTTTTGATAATACTTTATTTATTACAACATAATAATATTTTTAAAATTTATAGATGTATTTGAAAACAATATTTAATTGAAAACAATAGATGTTTTTGTGATTTAAAACATAAAAATCTTAATGGATAAAACCTATAGCTGAAAGTTCATTTAATGTACACATTAGTTTATTTTTGCCATAAATAAAATAACAAGAATTTTAACAACAAGAATAAAAACAAATGTTAAGTTAAAAAATGTTGTGACAATAAAACAATGGATTGAAACAAATATTTAACTTTTCTTCTAAAATATTGTTTACAGAGACTTAAGTCATCAGAAGATCGGAGTTCTGTCGAAGAATGCATTTTTGGGATTACGTTCACTGAGCACACTGTATGTCATTCATTGTCTATACAAACACTTCATTTCTTGTCTTTATTTGTTTCCTAATTTTCTAAAATACAATACATTTATTAATTTATAGTTTGGTTTAAATATTATCATATTTCTATACATTAAGATTTAGTGTGAGTTTTATTAGACAACGAATTTATTGGCAAATTAAACAGATTTTTGTTATTTAAATTTTTATACTTTTAAAAATAATATAAACTAATTTATTCAAAATTTATATTAGTATTATTGACAATGATTTGAGTATTATTTAGTAAAATAAGAATATTCTTCATAAAAACATTATTCATTTGGTATTAATTCCTGTGAGAGAGTGAGAGGATTGCATTATGAGATGCAATTCATTACAACAGCAAACTCTGTAAGGAAACAGAAAGAAGAAACAAAATATACATTTTTATTAAATTGAGAGCAAATAAGACTTTTTTATTTATTTTTGAAAATCAGACCCACTTTAAGCCAATGAAGCGAGTATTGCCAATATTGCCAAATATTTGTCAATCAAATAATTTTAAGTTTATTTTCAAACATTTCGCAATTTTAAACTAATTGATGGCTTTTTTGTTATATTGAATTTCCAGAGATTTATCAAATAATGTGATCACAGATATAGACGACGGAGTGTTCAGCGGATTAATCAAATTGGCCTCTTTGTGAGAACTACTAACTATACTAACAATTGATTTTCAGTATATAATGTATTTAACAATTATTTTCTTTCTTTGCATTTATTTCTTTTGAATACAAATCCAGAGACTTATCCAAAAACTTATTGTTCAAAATGGGAGGAAAAACTTTTCTCGGATTGCAGTCATTGAGGCTTTTGTAAGTACTTATTACCGTATTTGTCAACTATAGTTGCATTGCGATTATATTTCAAATGTCACACAAAAAGTGCAACTATCTAGATATATTGCGCTAATTGTTGAATGAGCTTTTTGAATTAAATTTATTGTAAATAAAGTGAAAGTAATAGAAATCGTCATTTTAAATGAGTTTTACCTCAAATGAGTCTACTTTCATAGTTTTTGTATAATTTCATATTTATTTTTACTAGTTTTGACGTAACTATATATGATTATTACACATGGAATGCAATTATATCTAACAAAATATATTTAACTGTGGGTAGTTTTTGGCTCACTCACAACTAGGGTGACAAACTGTCCTCTTTTTAGAAGACAGTCTTCTATTTGGAAATATTTTGAGCAATATACTCTAAAGATTTTCTATGAAAATTAAGGTAAAAATTTGTGTCTTCTATTTGCCATCAATAATTACTGAATGTTTCCTTATTTGCCCTCTAAAATTTCGATTAAAAGTTCTCTTTTTCTAAAATGGGAAGTGGTCAGCCTACTCACAACATGTGAAAATTACCAATAATTGTATGCAACTATAGTCAACGTAATACGACATTATCTGAATTCTTGCACTCTTACTCTCTGTACGCTATGTTTATTCACTTGATTACCAATAAGTGTTAACACAATTCAATGCGCGAATTATAACGTTATAATTCCGGGTTTATATAAGTCTATAAATCTTTCTAAAGGCTTAACATATCCTACAAATTCATTGACCAAAACTTTTTTAATGAAAAATATTGTTTTGTAAATGTGTCTCCTTTTGAAAAACTAAAACCTTTTATATACAGTATTTGTTTTACCAGTTTATGTAAATTACATATTTTTGCCAAACATTTTTAGCCTAATTAATTTTGTTATTTTTTGTTAAAAGTTTTTCAACAAATAAATGTAAATTCTTAATTCAAGTTTACTAACGAATGAAATCAATTATTCTTTTATTTCATAATCAGTTTTAATAATTAATTTATATTACATTACAATTTCCTGAAAGAACATTAATTCATGAATAATATTTAATCTTAAATTTACATTATTTAATATTCTCACATGTTTAATAATGTTGTTCTCATAGGTTTTATAATTTACATGCTATGTTTTATGTTTAATGCAATTTTATTATCATAATTAACTAATGCATTGAATTTATAAACTTTTTTATGCCTTAAATTGCATTAAAGAATTGTGAATTCTTTTCCATAAGAATTTATATTTTTCAAATATTTAAACAATTTAATCTATAAGTATTTTAAATATCTACTAGCTAATTAATTCTATTTTCGTATTATTTTACGTTTAGAAATTATTTTTAATGGATTCTGAGCATGTATATTAAATATTAAGAATTGCTTTTTATAAGAAAATTTTATTTTAAAAAACTGCATTGGATATATGAAACATGGCCTAAATATTTTGTAAAAATTTATTTTAAATAATAATAATTTTTTGTATTAAAAATTATTTAAATAATTTTGTATTTAATATTCAAGATCAGTATATATCAAGATGTGAATATTTTTTTAGTTTTTATTTTATGATTGTCATTAAAATATGAAATAAATATCATCTTGTTAAATTACTCTATGTCTTCGTACTATTTTACATTACTTATATATTAATCGACATGTAATCTGTATAATTATAGCGTAACACAACATATAAATTAATATTAATATTATTATAATATGGCACAATTCATTGTTTGATGAAAAATATCAATTTGCTTTTAAATTCATAAACCATTAGCAAAACTATTTAGTGAATTAATTTACTCAACATTTTATTATTGCGAAATAATTATGTCTTTCGTAAACATATCAAAACCAGAATTTTGTCGGCTTTTAAGACCACTATTAAAGTATTATTATTAATATTAATAGAATTGTATGCATTATTTTTAATACGTTAAGCGATTTTATTTAATAAATTGCTAGACATTAAGGTTTAATATCTTTTGTAAACCATTAATATATAGACTAATTTATATTAACTAAAAACAACAACAAAAAAGTCACTATTTATGTTGATATACGCGCACAAAGTCTATCTCCATCGTCGGCTTTTCCCATTTAATGGCCTCATTGGTCGTCAATTGAGGTCCGAATACTTTTTCGGGGAAAAAATTTCCGCCGACAGCGACGTTGAGTATCCAATGAAAGGGCTTGTTATAGGGCTCGCCCTTATGTTTGTATGGATTGTCCCCCTTTCCCGACCACATATCTCTATCGATATTTTCTTTATGAAATTGCTTTCCATCTAAAAACCATTTCATCTCTTTTTTATCCCATTCGAGACCAAAAATGTGATAATCTTTACTAAAATCAAAGCTAAATGTCTTGTCTCCGCTTCCTTTGGATACTTTATTGGGAGCGACGCCTCCGTAATGAATGGCACCAAAAATAGTGTGCGGTTTCTGTCCCCTGTACTCCATTATATCAATCTCACCGCTCGCCGCCCTAACCGTTGATAAAGCAATACAATTAAATTAGTGAACATATTATGTAATTTGAGGCACAGGTGTACAAACCAGGCGCCATATTCGTTGCCCTGAGGCATAAGCCAAACGGCGGGCCATAAGTGTTTTCCTTTGGGTAACTTAGCTCTGGCCTCAAACTTGCCGTAAGTCCACGCTTTCTTTGACGTGAGTCGGGCTGACGTGAAGTGTCGGCCCTCCATGTCCTCCACCCGCGCGTGAATAACAAGCGATCCGTTCTCTACCCTCGAGTTTTCCTTCCTCTTCGATGTATAGCATTCGAGTTCATTATTACCCCAACCTTTCCGTTAGGTTTAATACATTTATATTTAATTGGTTTTTATTGAATACCGATTACCTCCGCCTCCCGACGAGAATTTCCATTCGCTATAATTAAACTCCTGTCCATTAAACTCGTCAGACCAGACCAGATGCCATTGCTTTCCCTCGCACTCAACAATTGCCAAATAAATGCCAATTAATAACCAAATCAGAATCCATTTATCCATTTATTGTTTGGATAGACTATTAACTTATACTAATTAAAAAGTAATTACATTTAATTATACTTATATCATCATGGTGTTTGTTCTGATAGCATATGTTTTGATTGCGAATTATTCAATCTATTGTTATGTTATAATTTAATTTAGTGCAGTATTTATACATTAGCTTTTGTAGATTATTTACATTATATTTTGCACATAATTAACATAAGTACACACATTATCAATAGATCTGTCGATATTTGTTAAATGTAAAATTATTTCAAATGCATGTGTTGTGTGACTGTTGAGGAAAAAGACCCAGAATTTCCAATCTCTTACTTTTAGGCAACTTTACAATTGAAAAGAAACTGAAATTTTGATGACCCACTCAAACAATATTGTGACTAAAATGTATCATAAATTTACTTAATTTATTGCATAAATAGTTTAATATATTGAATGATTATTACATGTAAGAAGAATTTCGGATTATTTTGGTCTTAGAGCTCAACTTTATTTTCAAATTTTATTACAAATTTATTTTCTTATCGGCGGGTATTTTCTCTTGAATTTTTTTATAATGTATCCATTTATCAAATAGTAATTGGTAGAGATTTGAGGCACATTGAAGTAACTTACTATTTTAGATAATAAACACATTATTGGTTGTGTTGAAACATTTTGGGACAATCTAACCAAGGTAATTTTACTACATCTGATTTTTTGTTTAAGAATACATTATTTTTAATTTTCTAAAATATTGAAAACTTTCAAGCAATGTACACAGTATTGTTATTTACTGTATATTAATGCACATTGTATTCAATTTTGCTTATTAATTTATATAACTGAATTCTGTTGTGCCCCCTATAAAAAATATTATAATCTTCCTAGAAAACATTCTTATATCAAAGTATTTATTGTAATAATACTTTATTGCATTACATAATATGAGATTTCTTACAATGTATTCAATTATGGATATTGGAAGTTCTTTAATGCACTTTCTTCCATTTATATATTTTTGATATTAAAATTGAAATTACTACAAAACTAATCAAAATTTACATACGTAACTTTTGAACTGTAGTACAAATCTATATAATATTATTATCATCACTGATCCAAAAATCTTCTGATTAGTTTAAATTAAATAAAATCCACTTAATAGACATTATTATTTAACTTTTGTAACTTTTCTGTTACTAATGTTTAAAACTTTTATTCTTTAGATAACAAAAATTTAATTTAAATTGAAATTAAATTTATTTAACAAATATTTAATTACATGTATTATGAATACAACAGCAAACGATTTATTTCCATTGATAAACACGAAGGTAATCGATTTCCATTGTGGGCTTTTCCCAATGTCTCGCCTCTTCGACAGTCACTTGTTTTCCGTATTGACCCTCTGGGAAGAAGTTTCCGCCGACCGCTATGTTTAGTATCCAATGGAAGGGCTGATCAAATGGGGCCACATTGTGGTTGTATGGGTTCGGGCCCTTTCCCGACCACATGTTCTTATTGATGCCTTCGTAGTGGTATTCCTTGCCGTCGACTAACCATTTGATACCATTTCGGTCCCATTCGATACTGAATGTGTGAAAGTCGGCCGAGAAATCAACGCCCAGATCACGCTCTCCAGAACCGTGCCATACATTGTTAGGGGCGACACCACCATGGTGGATTGTGCCCTGAGTTACTCGCGGTTTCTGGCCTCTGGCCTCCATTATGTCGATTTCACCGCTCGCTGCCCTGTAGTGAGA